ATAATAAATAATATCCATAAAAATATTCAATTTAAAATAGAAGAAGAAGATAAAATTACCAACAGCATAAATTATTTAGATATTACAATTAAAAGAAATAATACAAATCTCGAATTTGAACCGTTCAAAAAGCAGTGCTCAATAAATACCACAGTTAACTATAATTCTAACATACCAATTCATATAAAACAAAACATATTTAATATGGAATACACTAAAATCAAAAATAGAACTAGTATAAATACTAAACAAATCGAACATTTAAATACACTAAAGAAAAAATTTATTCTTTCAGGATACCCAAACAGAATTCTTAATATTTGGGAGACAGAAATAGATAAAAAAACAGATAAAACAATAAGAATAGATCCTAAACAAGCAGAAATAAAATACATTCGTTTTCCATACATAAAAGGTTTATACGAAGAAGTCAATAAGGAAGTCAAAAAAATTAATGTAAAACTTGTACCGACATATGATAAGCTACTCTCCAGATTAAATGCAAAACAAGTTAACAAAACAAATATAACAAATAAAGAAGAAAGTAAAAATGTAGTCTATAAAATTCCGTGTACATGCGAAAATAAAAAATTTTATATAGGTGAAACTAAACGTAAAGTTAAAGTAAGATTGAAAGAACATATAGCCGATTTGAAATATCGTAGACTAAATTCTGCTTTTCATGAACACTGCCTTTTGAATAATTGTAATATAGATAAAAATAATATAGATATCTTACACAGAGAAAGAGATACATACAAAAGAAAATTCAAGGAAAGTATAGAAATAATCAAAAATCAAAATAGTATAAATAAAAATCCTAGCATCTCAATAAACGAAAACTGGTTAAAAATTTTATATTAATTGTATTCACTAGATTCAAACTATTATTATTGTGATCAATGTGCTAATTAATAATAACGATTGAACTGTTACATAAATCAACAATAACAAAAAACTGTAATGTTGTAACGGGAATCAAATAATATGTAAATTTATATTAAATGTTAATCCTGTTTACCAACCTCAAGACATTGTAATGTCATTAGTTCATATAATAATCTATAATATTAAATACTGTAATGTTAAATAAATCAACAATCATATATTGTAAAAATATAGTAGATGTCAGATATGTAAATTTATATTGTAGAAGTTATGTAAATTCGTATTATATTGTCAATGCTTATCAAAGGAAATAAGGATTTAGTAAAACAGATTTATGAGTAAAAAGCATAATCAATTGTATACCAATTTGATAATTGTTGTCTAAGGTATATTTTAGATCAAGGATTTTGTAAGACTGTTTTATAAGTAAAAGGTATAATCAATTTTGTACAGTACAACCTTAATAACAGCCGTACTCAAGGTATGCCTTAATTGAATATAGTTTTATAGATACTATAAAACTTATGTATGGTTTTGTATAGATATATTGTATACTCTCCTAATATTATAGTAGGCTACAAGAAAAAATACTGTGAATAAGCTGATGTTTCTGAAAAAATATCGAAAGTAAACTGCTACTTTAATTTATAGGACTTGTATGGATAGGTATGTTTTATTTTTTAAGAATTTTACAAAACTTGTGTATTCCCTTTTTTATGTGTATGTTGTATTCTTTTTAAATGTTTTAGTTGACTGAAGAGGGGCTTAAGAGCCCGAAACGTGTAATTTTTTCCACACGTATCAACTAAATAAAAATGAGAAAATTCGCCAAGTGTCTTAATTTATAGCACTATATTGTGTCAGAAGCATAAAGAAAACATTTACTAAAAGATAATAATGTCTGACGTTGATAAGTAACTTTTATTTAAATAATAATAATAATACCTACCTTCATTTAGATTATATTTTTTTTTATAAACTAATTGTAGAATATGATTTTGATTTTGAAAAAAAAATAAAAAGAAAAGAGGTTCCATGCCCAAAACAGCCAAGACTGGTGAAAACAATGAGACAAGATTTGATTTGAATCTAACGGCCGAAAAAAGTAAGCAGATAAAAATTCCTGACTTTAAAGTTAAGATTAGGGAATCTGAAAAAATTGAGATACAGGAATTTCCGTCGAATTTCTATGTATGTCTCACAAAAGCTAAGGAATCATACCTGCCTAACAAATATAGCAGCATCAACGTATAAGATTTTAGCAAGTATAAACAAGCATTTAACGCCATTGAATGGCATTGGGAGGAATATACCAAATTTTAATAGTATGTTTTTTATCATATGGTATAATTGTATAATGGTTTATGTATAAGTTTCTATACAAAATTATTGATTGTATAATGTTTTTATAATATGGTATAATGGTTTTTTCATATAATTTTTCTATGGTAATATTGTATAACAGTTTTTAAAAGTATATAAAATTTGTGTGGTAATATCGTATGATGATATTCTAATTACGATTTTAAAAATAATTTTCAAATTTTTCATTTTCAGGAAATTTTTTAAGAAGAAACAGAATCAAATAGGAGTGTCGAAATTCCCCAATTTGGATTATGGTAAGAAAATTCAATATGCTATTTAACTTCAAATATCTATATATCTATTATCTAAAATGAGTGTTGTACAAATTGCTGTATAACAATTTATGTAATTTTGCTTAGTTCTGGTTGATACAATACGTAAAAGCTTAGAATATGAAATAGTGAGAATAAACTTTGTGCCTTAAAATTTGCTTAAATATCTTCTGTAAAGTAGCACTATTACTTCAATGTTAGTTGTGATTGAAATTGTCATGTATCTGGATGTGTATGGTGTTTATGAAGTATTGATACATTTTGGTGAAAAATTTGGCTGATAATTTGATAAAACATATATGCAAACAGAATATATTTGCATATATGTTTCATTAATGTTTTATTTCTTAGAGTTACTTACTTGGAGTGCTGCATCTTGGGTGTTATGTGTATGAAGCTCATTTTTTAATGTAAACACACAATTTTCCATGGTTGTTTGCAGCATACCAAGCTTTGTACAGAGATGTTGAGGTGTGAGAGCTTTATTTAATCACTTTTTGAACATATTCTTTGGTGTATGGAAGGTTGCCTGAATATTCATCATTTAATTTTTCTATTTCTTGAATATTTGCCCGTGTTGGACCAAGTTTCTGATATTGCATATAGGCTATTCAAACATGAATTTACAGGTATTCTCTATTTTAAAGTTAACATTTCTCACTACTTTCCAACAACTGTAAGAAAAATGAAATTATTAATGCATTCACAAAAATGGATTGAGACTTTATAAACATTTTGCATTTACATATTTAAGATAGACTGTGGGAAAATAGGTTGGAATTGTAAGGATATATAATTCAACATATTTGAGAGAGAGACTGATTTGTATGAATAAGTCAAATAGTGCACTGAAATAGCTTATTAGTATATGAATTTCAAAAGTATTAGAGATGGCATAATCAGTATTGAGTTCTGCAAATATCACTTTATCTGTACTGAGGAGATGAATTATTGAAAATAACAAGTGTTATGGGATAGTGATAATGTTAGTCTAAATAGCAGAATTTTTGTCAAGATGCATTCAGATTCATATATATGTGTAATATGTTCCCATAACAATAGTGAGTATTTCTACTTATAGTTAAATTTAAATTTAAAAAAATTGTGTCATTGTGTTTTGCTGTGAAACCTTGGAAAAGGGGTTATATTCTTTGCTGATAAAATTGTTAGTTTCATTTGTTAAGTGTTGCCAGTAAATAACAATGAGTTGTTTGTGATTACATGTATTTTTTGTCTTTTTGAACAACATGAGTTTTACAGAATGTCTAGTTCCAAATTTCTGGAATTCTGTTGTGTTTCCGACACTTCGTGTCTGGCTGATATTGTAATCTAAAGATGAACTGTAGTCAATGTGTATATTGCATTGAATAATTTCTTTAAATGTTTATTAAGATGTGATGATTTATTTGTCCTGGACAAGGTTTTTACTTTTGTGGCAGGAAATGTCATAGTTACACTGATTGCTTTCACAAAAATTATATTATGTATTTATGAAAAATTCAAAAGTACTGATATTTTTTCTTTTGCTTTTCAGTTTGAGTCTGTCTCTGAGAATAGAAAAAAACAAAGACCAGGACAATATATTTAGTGTTATGCTTCAGTCATCCAGTCTCTGGAGATTATGATTCTAGAAAAATTGACTCTCGTATCCTATATTACTAAGGATAACAAAATATGCTTCTCATCTGTATTGCAGTTTCACCGTGAAGAAGATATGGGTTATTTACCAAAAATCAAAATTATTACATTTTATAATTTAACGAAAGGTGATGAAGGCTATTCAATTCTGTTCAATGCAGAAAGAAATTCATCTAACGACANGATCAGTTTATAAAAAACGGATCAGGGTGGATAATTAAGGAAATTATATTTTTAGATATTCATTTAGGAATTTATAAGGCTGAGAGTGGTGGATGTGGTAATATCATCCTACCAAAACATTTAATTAATAAGCGTTGTTTGTTGAATATTAAATGTAGTGATAATCAATGTTTTTTATACTGCGTAATTGCTAGTTTGTATCCAAATACTAACAACAAAAATTCGATTTATTCGTACAGGAAATTTTTGAAATATTTAAATACAAATACCCTAAAATTTCCAGTAAATATTAAAAATATTCCATCATTTGCAAAAAATAATAGTTTAAAAATTCAGGTATTTGGATATGAAAAAAAATAATTTATCCTATTTATATAAGTAGATATTAATTCGAAAAAAATTAATTTGTTATTATATAAAACTCATTATTTTCTAATTAGAAACTTTAAAAGACTATTGTCAGAAAAATCAAAAATACAAAATTTTTTAAATGCTCTCTTATAGGCTGTCAAAGAAGCCATACTTTAAACAAGCATGTGAAAATATGTTCTAATTATAAATATCAGAAAGTTTCTACCCGGACTGGAGAAAGAGCAGTTGCTGAATTTACTAATTATGAGAAGCAATTATATCACCCGATAGTAATTTATTCTTATTTTGAATCGATTCTAGAAGAAGTTCGTGTAAACGCTGTAGATCTAAATTATAGTTTCACTAAAACTATTCAGATTCATAAACCTATATGTTACTCTATCGTTATTATAGAAAAAGATGATGATTTATTGTATTCTAATTTTTATTGTGGTAAAGATGCTGTTAAGCATTTTTTATTTGATATCCAGAATCAATTAAATATTTTATTAGATAAAATAAATAGTTATGTAGAAATGAATGTAGATACTATTCCCGATAATTACGAACATCAGTGTCATATATGTGAGGGAGGGTTTAATTATGATGATATCAGAGTAAGAGATCACGATCACTTAACAGGTGATTATCGCGGAATAGCTCATAACCATTGTAATTTAAATTATAGATTCAAAATATTTATTTCTATTATACTACATAATTTTACAGGTTATGACTCCCATATGATTTTCAAAGATATTCCTCCTAAACTATTTTCGAGAATTCAGATTATCCCAGTAAATTCAGAAAAATTTACAACGTTTACTTTAGATCATTTCAAATTTATAGATAGTTATCAGTTTTTAAATTTTTCGCTAACTACTTTATAAGAAAATTTAAAAAATGCGAATTATAATTTTTCTATTTTTAATCAATTTTTTGTAATAACGAAAATAAAAACTTATTAAAAAAACAATTTTCCTTATTCTTATTTAAAAAACAAGGATATTTTATACACAAAAATGTTTATTACCGAAAAAATATTTTTATAATGAATTATCTGGAAAAAAATATTAGCAATGATGATTATAATCATGCAAAATTAGTTTGGAAAAAATTTCATTGTAAAAATTTTAAAGTTTATTTAAAATTATATCAATATGTTGACACATTATTACTGGCTGATATATTCCAAAATTTTAGAAAATTAAGTTCAAATTATTATAATTTAGATCCAGAATATTTCATAACTACTCCAGACTTAACATAAAATTGTGGATAAAAAATGACAGAAATTAAACTCGAATTTTTTAAAGATATTAATATGTATCTTTTTATTGAAAAGGGGGTGAGGGGGAATGAGTTTAATGGGGAAGCATTTCGCCTAAATAAATAGCCGTCTAATCTCAAAAATCTATGATAAAATTCATAACTATATTATTTTGATAGATGCTAATAATCTCTATGGATTTGCGATGAGTTTTTATTCATCTGTAAATGATTTCAGATGGTTATCCGAGGATAAGATAAATGCTTTAGACATTTGTAATATTAGTGATAGGAATAATATAGGCTATATTTTAGAGGTTGATTTAAATTATCCAACGAATGTTCATGATCGCCATAATGCGGTGCAATTAGCTCCTGATCACGTGAATATTCCATTTGATTTATTATCAAATTATTAGAAATCGGTATTAACTAAATTAAATTTAAAATATAATAATAATAAGAAGAAGAAGAAGAAATTAATACTGACTATGTTCGATAAACAAAATTATGTAATTCATTATAGAAATTTAAATTTATTTAGAAGAGGGTTTAATATTGACTAAAATTCATCGATTGCTTGCATTTAACCAAGAGCCGTGGCTTAAGAATTATGTATTGTTGAATAATAAAAAACAGCAGGAATCAAGGAATGGTTTTGATAAAACTTTTTTCAAGCTAATGAATAACAGTTTCTTTGGTAAAACGTGTCAGAATGTATGCAAGCGTTTAAATTTGAAACAGCTATGACTGAAAATTAATGTTGAAAGTATTTATCTCACTCAGCCCTCGAAAATTTCCAAATTATTAATGATATTCTCACGATTTTTAAAATGAAAAAAATTAACTTACGTTTGGATGACCCGATTTATATAGGTTTTTGTGTATTAGAATTAAGTAAATTGCATATGTATCAAACATATTATAGAATATTTAAGAATAAATATGGTGAAAATTTGAATTTATTATATACAGATAGCGATTCGCTAATGCTTCCAATTTATACGAATGATTTATATAACGATTTTAATTATTTACAGATACTTTTGATTTCAGCAACTACCCTAACACACATGAATTATTTGATGTATCAAATAAAAATAAGCTTGGATATTTAAAAGACGAGACGGCATATAAACCTATAATAGAATTTTGTGCCTTAAAACCAAAAATTTATTCGTATATTTTTAATAATCAAAATAAAAAGACGACTACAAAAATTAAAAAAATCTGTTGTTAAAACTTTTAACCACAAGAAATATAAAGAAGTTTTATTTAATACCGAACTATTGAGACATCATCAATATGGTATTAAAAGTAAAAACCATGTTGTAACAATATATCTTCAGAATGAAATATCTCTCTCACTGTTTTATGGCAAAAAATTTATTTCTGATAATGGTATAGATGTGATATCGTTCAGACATTATAATTTTTATATTTAAATTCTTTCAGATTCTCTGATATCATTTCCTTCCAATATGGTTACATATTATTGTACACTGCCCAGCAAAAGTTTTGTCTAACAGCCGATGGACAGCGCATGGGCGGAAGAAGATCACTTGATAATCCAGGAC